GTGATCTCACCAGTGTTTGCTTGTCCCTAGCCCATGGGGGCATTACACATAAACTGATTTAAACCTGTAACAGAACAGATGTTCAGTGCACGTAAACCAGTTTGCAAAAAACCTGGTTGAATGTAGTATCAGACTTAACTGATTTTGGTCAAACCAGTTTATGCAATGTCTGTCCCAGACCCCTTGCTGGTTTAAGATAAACCAGACTCCTCCAGCATCCCAAATGCTCTCTGGGCTGGGTGGGGCTCTGTGCTCCACAGCAGGGCTGGCCCCTCCCCTCTGCTCCCTGGCTGGAGCTCTGGCAGAGACTGCAGACCCAGCAGGGTCTGCCTGGCTTCCCCTGCCTTGCTGCTCAAGCAGGAATCCCACCCCCACTCTCATCTCCCACAGCATGGACCTCAGCCCCACGGACCCTAGGCATGTGGTATGCTAGCTAATGCCAAGAGGTGTCTGTGTGTGTCTCCAATTTCACTAGGAAAGGCAGACAGAACAGTGACCACTTAGGGCATTTTGGAGCTAATCAACAGGTCAGCTGGTAAGTTGTTTAAGAAGAGTTTTAAATAATGGAGAGAGGCTATTGTTTTGCTGATGAGGTGATAAACACTGTTATCATCTCCCTGCTGGCTTGCTTGCCTGTCAGTTTGCTGCAGGTATTATAAAGAAGCAGGGAGGGAAATTGAAAAGCTCTGTATCATCAATAGATGCATGCACTTCACATCCCCCTTGCCTCAGAGTGCTAGCAGGGGGCTGGGGGCTGGCAACACTCTCGCAACCACCCCTTGAGCATCCAGCAGGGAAAAGACCTCCCTAATCAGAATGTCCTGCCAGGGCCTGGCCATGTCCCCCTCAGCTCAGCACGGTGGAAGGGAGGGCTGCTCTAGCACCCCCTGGCTTCTAGCCTGAGCCACTGGAGGCATGTGCTTCAGTCCAGAGAGAATGACTGTCCAGTTACAAACCGATTCAGCCTAGCCAGGTTAGACTAACCTGCAAAGGTTGAATCAATTCAGGTTCAGCCTTTTTGAATGTCTGTCCCTAGCCATAAGGATTCCGGAGAGTTAGCAGGCTGATTGTTTAGAGCACTCTCCAAATGTAACTAACTCATTTTGCATTAGATGCATGCACATGTGTGTATGGGAAATTTAGGCCTGCACCAAAATCTTCCTGAAGGAATTAGAACCTAGCTGCATGTTCCTTTCAACCCTGTTTTTATTCACTGCAAGGCTGTCTTTGAAAAGATAAGAGACAGAACATTTACTTTTTAAATTAAATCTGATTCTTTTTCATCTTCTAGTATCTCCAGATCAAGCAGTCTTGTCCCTATGGAGCTTTAGCAATACAGTAGCCCCCTTTCTGGTTCTAGGCATCCAGTTACCATAACCATTCTAGTTAATTATACCTACTCAGTGCATGTGCATATGTATACTTTGGTTGATATACATGAACCAATCAAAGTGCAGGGATTTGTATAATTACTATGTGGTTAGTTTCTATTCCATTCTGTGAATATACAACTCTTTCTCTTCTAATTGACTATAACAGGGGTTTTCAACCTTGCTTAGTCTAAGTACCCCCGGCAGCCAGATGCCGAGCAAGGGGGGAGGGTAGCACGTGGGAGGTGGGAATGTCACGTGGGTGGGCAGGGTTGAACGCTGCCACCTCCCAGGAGCAGGGCAAGGGCAGGATGGGGAAGCTTACTTAATTGGGGTGAGGGCAGTGGCACCCCTCTGCAGGACAGGGAAGTTCATCAGGCTAGTGTGTGGTGGTGGCGGCTGCTACGTGCGAGCTTCCCTGCCCTGCAGAGAGGCACCACTGCCCTGGCCCTGCCCTGGCCCTGCTCCTGGGAGGTGGTGGTGCTCTGTCTCTGCCTGCCCAACGCGTACCCCCTAGGACCAGTCCAAGTACCCCAGGGGGTACACATACTCCCAGTTGACAGCCCCTGAACTATAGTAATCTTTCTGATTTACTCAATTTTCTAGCTGTTGGCCAGTGCTTAAAATATAGGCTCAGCTTCTCACACTACAGCTGGAGCCCAAAGTTCCAACAAGGAAATGGAGAATAAATTCTTGAAAATCAGAGAAAACAGGACTCTCTAATTGCTAGGAGGAGGAAAATATCTCAGTGGACCCCATCTGTCATTGACCTAAGTAGGAACAGGCTTTCGCTTGTTCCGCTTCCCCTAAGCACATACCTAATGTTAAGCACGCAAGTTGTTGCACAAATGGCTACTTGTGTCCTGATAGTTAAAAACATGTTTAAGTCCCTTGCTAAATTAGGACCTTAGAAAGAAATCCTTCCCTTCATCCACAGCAGGATTTCTGTTTGTCAATGGAAGCAGCACACACTTATCCAAGGCAGTTTATGGGATCTCTTTTAGTTGGCTGAATTTATTCATAATATTATTACAGCTGCAAATGGAATTTAGACATTTATAAAAGTACTCTATACAGTCCTTGGCTTCGTTAAAAGGCTATTAAGAGTCCTTTGGGTTCACATTTAATTTTGAAAAGGAACCCAACGTTTTGTTTTTATGTCATAAGGAGACAATTCCTAATCTTTCCATACCTAAAGAGAAATCCTTTATCAGACGTGTCTTTTCCACCTATTCTTATCTGAAGTCATTTTTTCACTAGCTGTTAAGTATGCAAAAGAAGATCAATGGTTGAAGTTCAAAGTTGTCTATTTAAGGTCCCTAGGGGCAATCTGTCAAGCTATCCAGTAAAATATTATTGTCTGAAATGTTAAATGCTTCCTATAAAATGTTAAGGGTTTTAAATAACACTTCAAGGTCACCAGCACATTTAAAGAGAAAATTTACCAAGCCTTTGGAGGAAAATACTTAAGTATTTTGTTCATATTTAACCTGGTAGTCAGCAAGGAAAGAAAACTTAAAATCTGTTTATTAAACTTCTGTTTTATTGTATGTAGTAATCAAGGGACTTTTTTCAAAGCATCTATTCTTGAGTACAATTGAAACTAATAGTTTGGTATGAAGTTTGTATTATGTTATTGGTCATTTTCCACTCTTACTTTAAAATGTGTTGCTAAAACAAGAAGGTATCTCACTGAAAAAACTAGACAGTATCTGAAAGTAATATTTTTTCTGTGATTAGGCCCCCAAAAGGACCACTTTAAAGATATTACACCTACAAAGGAGGTTCCTCAGCGTATTCACATCTAATTATGTTGTTTAGATCTTCCAGCCATTTAAAAATTGTTTCTGCAAAAACACATTTTTGCTGGACTATTAATCAGTCAACAGGGAGCACAAATTGGTTAAAACTGTAGTTCATGGATCATTTAAATGTGATCCATGTAAACTTGGTTGTTGACATAGCCTAGGATCTTCCTTGTTTCTAGCTACTAAAATACCGAAAAAAATTGGTGTTAATTTTACAAGTGATAAATACCAATTAACCAATTAAGTAATCACCATAGTTGTTAAAGGGTTGATATGGATAGGAAGACCAAAATTTCACTGGATTAAATCATTTGAGAGCACTTGATCTAAAAAATAAAAATGCTGTCGTTAAAGGCAGGGCTTAGTACATTGATAGCAATAGTGTCAGTGAAAAAATGAAGAAATTAAAACAATGGCACTCCATGCAATATAGACCTGTTTAAAAATCCCAACAGAACATTTTCCTATCAGAGGATGTTTCTATAAGAATATGTTGATTTTGCCAAAATTTAATTTGGGGAAGAAAAAGGCATTTTGATAATGTCAGATATCATGTTGATAGTTTTTAAATGAAATGTTTTGCATTGTCTTTTCAAAACTTTTCATTTTGAGAAGCTTTTCAAGATAAATGAGAACAAAACAATAACCACTTATTCCCTGGGCCTGATCAGTGTTTTAGGTGTGTGGTCAGAGAAGTCAATTGAAGAACCTCTGCTGATTTCAGTGAACTTTGGATCAGGTCTCTAGAGTGTTGGATAGACAGGTTAAAAAAAATGAGGAGAAAGAAATAAAGAAAAAATGTTACTGGGCAGAATGTCTACCATAAAAAGAATGATAAAGACTAAAGCAGAATATATTCTCAGTTGTACAACACTTTGAGGGTTGAAGCTGCAGTGTGACTTGAGTGACTACTTCTTCATTCCT